GAAAATTTGATGACCTTATGATGTTTTTAGAAGTCAGCTGTTCGGTCTGGCCTGGGGTCTTTGGCATGACAAGGGTGTAAATTTTGATTTAATTCAGTACATCATATATATAAAACACCAGTCAATATGACTTCCAAATTCCACTCACATATAAACAGTGTCTCTAGAGTCCCTAGTTACTCATTCACTTCCTGTTATCTCCATCCATATCAGGTCACATCCGGGTTACCAATATTGCGGTTCCACTAAACACCATAATGTACTATCAAACATCATATTGCAGGGTTGGACTAAACACCATAATGTCAACAAAGGGTGTATGGTATTAATACTGTATATCTTATCTGTTTTTAGGAGAGAAGGCTGTATATGTATGTAAAATATTGTGAGAATAAACCGAAGTCTGAGTTTTTAGTTGCTGAATATTTAGATACATATTTTGAAGTAAGTATTTTATTATTTTGTAAAATATCTTTCTACTTGTTTTCATAATCATAAGATTCTCCTGTTTGAGAAAATATGAAATGGTACAAATAAAAGCATTGAGTGTTTCGGGGCACCTAAGAGGCCTGTTGGACTTGTGCACCTTCACTATCTGTTCAACCAATCATACCTTAGTTTCAGAAACAGGAATTTTTTTAGCTTACATAATCAGTAATAGTGTTCACAGCTCATTGTCGAAATTTGAACCTTCAAATCCATGTGTATCCATAATTATTAACATTTGAAGTTAAAAATTCAACTCGAATTCATATCATGTCATATATAGAAAACACATATATAGGCATAGACAGTGAAATTTCTAGTTTGAGGTATATTTGAAGGGATTATGCAATTTTTGTGCATTTTAGTACTTCTTTAGGCTATTAAAGCACAATCAATCCCCGAAAATGACGACTGTTCCCCTTTGTATCTATTTATAATATCAGTGGTAGATTCAGACCTCTGTGTTCTGTATGAAGATTCTTTGGAAAATTTTCAGTTTGCCTATGGTAAGGCGGAATCTGGAACCAGGCTCATCTAAATGAATAAAACGGGTACAAAGATTTCAAAATGTTTTGAACAAGGGATCTGGCAACTTGCTTTTCTAAGCTACATGATATTTGGTATGATTGATTTATATTTAATGAGGTATTTGAATTTTTTAGGATATTCGACAAAAAATGGGTCATCGTTTAACACTACCTGATCTTCTGATTAAACCTGTACAAAGGATCATGAAATATCAACTATTGTTAAAGGTAGGAATAACTTTTTAGTCATGGGACCTGTTTCATAAAAACTTAACTAAGATAAAACTATGATTTTAAGAAATACAGTAATCTGATTGGTGGATAAAGCCAGATTTGAATTCAAAATCATTTTTGTGACTGACCAATCAGAAAATATATGATTAAGAATACATGATAATTCATTAGAAACACCAATTAATCAAATAGTTTGATTAAATTGACACTAAAAAATAAGGAAACCCATCTATAATTATATGCAATAAGAACATAATGATATGATTAAGAATACATGATAATTCATTAGAAACACCAATTAATCCAATAGTTTGCTTAATTTGACTCTATAAAAACAAGGAAACCCATCTTTAATGTTGTTAATCTATATTATAGGATATAAGTAAATATACAGAGCGAGCAGGATTAGATGTCACAGATTTAAAGAAAGCTCAACGTGTAATGAGAGTGGTACCTAAAGCTGCAAATGATATGATGCAAGTCGGAAGGTTACAAGGCTTTGATGTGAGTAATAGTCTTCTCCCTTATTGCACACTGTCCTACAGATCATGTGTCTGATGGTACACTTAGTCAAAGATCCCTTGACAGTTCAATTGGAAAGGAAAAAGCTGAAGTTTTCTTCATTACCCACTGCATGGTGTTACATATCTTCATTAGTCCAAATAGTAAAACTGGAGCAGAAAAGTAAGATGTAAAAATCTTTCATTTCATCCTTTCCATTGTCTTATTATTTCAGGGTAAAATTACTGCTCAAGGGAAATTACTCCTACAAGTAAGTATGATTTTCAGACCACAATCAATATTTATTCTTTCTGAGATGAAGGTACATTATAAAGGTTCTTATAACACAAATCCTTTGATATGTTTAGACCAGACCAGTTTTTTTTACAACTTTCAAGTTTTTATTTTTTTTTCAGGACACATTACTAGTGGCGGAAGTCTCTCCATCTGGCCAACAGAAATTTAAAGAACGACGGGTGTTTTTATTCGAACAAATCATTATCTTCAGCGAAATGACAGAGAAACGAAAAGGAGATTTTTCCAACGCCAATTATGTGTTCAAAAATAGTGTCAAGGTATTCAGAATTCTATTTTTAAATTATCATTTTTTAGGTCAAAGATAATGACATAGTAAGGTGAAGTGTAAGAGGCAGAAAGTACCTGCTCTTTCAATTGACAGCTGGCTTTGTCATTCTATCTTGAATGCTCCAGGATACTATTATACTCGAGTCTCTCATTCATTCAAGTCTACCTTGATTTCATTAGCCAATAAAGTCTACCTCGATGATTTGCCAGCTCATGGATTGCGCTTTAGATTTATAGATGTGTCAAATTTTCTCCTTATGACATAATATACCAGGACAAATATTGGGTAGATATAGCTGTCATTTTCTTGCTATAAACATATCTGTATTGCCGAGAATGATCAAATAATTGGCTTATTTTAGTCCTGTTAAATTTTGTTTATCTAAGCAAGAATAACTTTGAATTTAAACGTTGAATAAAGTTGACCAGATATTCAATTTGCTGAAGTGTTAAAGATATTTTTCCAATATCCTACTTCTGATGGAACCATTCTATAATCAGACATCAATAAATAAAGAATAACAAAGGATTTAACCCTTTCATCCCTAGCGGCCGGTTTACCGGCTGCACACTAACGCAATATATACCCGAGCAGCCGGTATACCGGTCGTTACTAAGTGACGTCATACAACGTTAACGTCATACACTTTTACTTTTATTACTTCAGAGTTCAGGGTATATGATGTTATATTTCATTCACACTCAGGGTTCAAAGGGTTAAGAATATGTCCAACTACAGATAATCCATTTAATTAAGATTAATTAACATCAAACTCGTTACAATTTCAGGTCAATAAGATGGCAATGTCTAATACTGTAGAAAACGACCCCACCAAATTTATGTTAATAGATAGAACGCCAGGGTCAGATTTAAAATTGATAATTCAAGCCCCATCAGCTGATAATAAAGATACGTGGGTGAAAGAAATTAGAAGTATTTTAGATATGCAAGGCGACTTTCTTAGAGGTTAGTTATTTTTATAAATTGTTTCCATCTCTTCTTGGATGCGAAATAAACTAAATGAGATAAAGTGGTCTTCATTCTTATCACAGCTAATACAGTGAAAACTGTGAAGACCGCACCACCATCGGTTTCCCCCACATATCTGCCAAAAGCTTAAGTCTCGACAAAAGCATGATACAATTCATTCATATCTTTACTATGAAAACCGTCCAACCCCAAAAACTGCCAATTAGTTGATCTTTGCTAGACAATTCGGCTAAATCCTTCTGTATCAAACATCTAAGGTTCAGCTATCTGTTGGACTTTTCTAAATAAAAGTTTGACTTGTAGTTAGTATACAATAAAGTAAATAAAGTTATCGGATGACTTTTTAAAACATAACTATGAGCAGTCTATTTTATATGAAGGTAGTTTAAAATGAAATGAAGACATAGAGTTGATGTGTTGAAGTTTCAATTACTGTTTATTCTACCTTGAAACAAAATAAACTAATCCTTGAAAGTACATCTTTGTATTCTCTGAACCACTATACACTAGTAGTATGTCAAGATAGATCTTGATTTTATTTTGAAAAGTCCCTGCCATGTATTCTTGAAATGATCCTAGCGCTAGGATATCCTAGGGTCATAACTTCTAGCACTGTTTATTGGATATCCTAGGGTCATAACTTCCAGCACTGTTTCTTGGATATCCTAGGGTCATAACTTTTAACACTGTTTCTAGGATATCCTAGGGTCATAACTTCTAACACTGTTTCTTGGATATCCTAGGGTTATAACTTCTAGCACTGTTTCTAGGATATCCTAGGGTCATAACTTCTAGCACTGTTTCTTGGATATCCTAGGGTCATAACTTTTAACACTGTTTCTAGGATATCCTAGGGTCATAACTTCTAACACTGTTTCTTGGATATCCTAGGGTTATAACT